CAAAAAACAAAAAACACAACATTAGTTAAATGCAGGGAGGGGAAGGGGAATTATTAGACAATTTTCCTGATTTTTCAAGTGCTTTCCATACATCTATCACGCTCCCTCTCCCATTCATAGGGTCCAAATAACCCAAGATGTTTCTCAGAGTATGCTGGCTAGCATACCCTGTAACGATTTTTGTCTGCCTGATGCTTCTAGCTACAAGAAGACAAAACACTAGTTTTAATACTGTATTTGCATTTGACAGTCTGACAACTGGCTTTACTGCTTATCGATCTGGTTTAAAGGAGTTGCTGCTATCCAGGTTAATCAACTTGGTYTACTCCTGAAACAAAACACCTTTTAAGAGAAAAGGTTTGGACTTTGAAAGGAGCTTAAGATAATTAGACTCCCAAATCTTATTAGGTTTCAATGCAGCTGGAAACCTAACTCTTAAAAAAAAATCAGGAAAATAAAAAAAAATTGAAGTTGAGGGGGAGAAACCCTGCTGTTTYATGAAAATATGAAGAAAAGGGGGGAAAAAGATCTGCCTCAATTATTCTTATGAAGTCATTRTTTTATTTTAAAGCTCATTTTGTTCTGACTTTTCCCTATTCATTTTACAGTGATTAATTTTGCAGTTCATGTTCATTTATTAAATGGAATTAGGCAAAGAGACATGCTCAATTTTCAGCAGAAAAGCACTTTAAGATCAGTTACATATTACAGATCTGAAAAACATGTCATCTTTGTATTTATCACTTTATATATTAAATAAATGCTAAAAAATTTTAACTTCAAAATCTAAAATGTTTATGTTTATTTGTACATGTACGGAAGAAAGGGAGKTGATCATACAACTCAATATAAATTATATTTATGTTACCTGTAGCTTTAGCTAATTGTCTCCCTCTGCAGWCTTCCATTACTAAAAAACAAGAACACATCTATGTAAAGTAGAAGCATCCTAAAACCTTCAGGGTCACTGTATCTAGCCACTGCCTTCATTCTGTCAAGGGTATTTGTGCAATTGTTTAGGACATTTGCATAATTCATCATTCAAACTGACTCAACACTCAACAAGGATGTCTTGACAAATTAATCTGGGTACCACATAACATAYTTTACACTATTCAGTTCCTCTCCATGAGGAAAGAAATATCCATTGACTTTGTATGCAGCACTATTGCTTTAATTTCTGCCTTTTCCATACAGGAGGCAAAACACAATTTTTTTTTTGCCTTTGAGTTTTAGAGAAACAATTCTTATGACTTGAACCCTGCATTGAGTGAACTTCTTGAATAACTTTTTGAAGAATTGCTCTAAATAAAAGGAAATCAGAGGCTCCCAAGTTGCTCTTTTTCACAGTGATCCTTTCAGTTTACAGTTTATTTTCTGTTTAATTTTTTTGCTATAAATTCCACACATGCCTGAGCTTACTAATTAACCACTAGAGAAAAGGAGTATGCCTGCAGTTCCCTGTACTAGAAGGGCCTGAACTTACTAACGAAGTGTCCCAATTACATTTCAGTCCAAGTGCTTTTCCTCACTATTGTCATACACCCAGGCAAGCAAATTCAAGTATTTTGAATTATGCTATTAACCTTCATTGAGGAATCTGAAAGATGGGAGCAAGCAATGCCAGCAGAAGTAACCAAAGCCAAGACCGAGTAGGACTTTGTTCACAATTAAAATTTAGTTCACCCTCAGGAAGCAGAGCTTTCCATTTCACATGAAGTCAGATTACGAAGCACATGAAAGCAGATGTCCGCCTTGCCACAAAGTATGCATGAGATCTCTCATGCTTGACTTTTACAGCTCAACTACAGCAGAAAGCTCTTCAAGTTTAACTTAGCAATGCCTGTGACAGCCAACAGTATGTTTAAATATTTTCTCATAAAACACTGAAGCCTTTCTCTTTCCTCCAGCATGCCAGTATCTTCCTTTTTATCAGTCCTGTAGACTAGGGGTCATGCTTGATTTCTTTCTTTCCTCTTCCCCTGTCTTTATTAAGTCCATGAACAAGTCCTGTCATCTTCCATAAAGCATAAAAAAATGCCTTTCTTCCTGTTCTGCTGACTTAGACTTATCTCTAATAATTTTCCACTTGACCTAGCAGAATTACTTCTTATCAGATCATTTTGCATCAGACATGCAGATGCTAAATAACCTCTCATTTTRCTTATGCAGACAATATTTCTGACCCTTCAATTATACCAACTGAGCAGCACCATTCATTCCCAGCAAACTCAGTACTTTCCTGTCGTTGCCTTGACAGAGTCCAACTCGCTGCACCTTTCTTAGAAGCAGCTTAACTAAGATTAATTTATGCTTTTGGGTGGGGGGTCTTGGGAAGTTTTTTTGTTTGTTTCCTTCTATATACCAGGCTGCGGTATAGACAGCAAAGTCACTCTAGGATGTCTGTGGCATTCACATGAAGTCAGGAAACATGACAAGCACCTACAAGAGATGTATTTATGTCCTTCTTTCTCTGTATGTTAGCAGGAAAAAACACCACTAAGTTTTAAGCATCTGTCAAGCAAGTTTTCAAGTTTGAGCCATTCCCCTCTAACACCTTAGAGTTCCCATTTGAACCACACATTCAATAATCCCCTGGTACAATTTTGTTATTGTTCAGACTTAGAGAACAGTCATTTCTGGTTTATTTGAAAACCAACAAATACAAATTTATGCACAAATGTAAGGCTACTGATGGAGCTAAGGAACTTGCCTGCCTGACAGGAGATTAAGCAAAAGGTTGCATGCATCTTTAAAATTATGCCTCTGGACTAGATATAAYAGGCCTCTTGCATGAGTCTTTTTTTTTAAAAAAAAAAGCATTACATGCAGATCAGTTTTCTCCATAAAAATTCTCTCACCCTAATACTGATSCCAACCAGATTACCAAATACTTTTCATGCTGTCTTTTCTCTACACCACCCTCAAACACACCATTTTTTCAATTGTAGTCTTTCTGTAAAACTTTTATCTAAATGACAATTTTYTTTCTGGTGTGTTAGACAGTCTGTTCTACAAACAAAGAGAGCCTGTAACAAAAACAGGCTTCTGCCAGAGGATGGTAAGATAGTGCATGAGATCAATCTGAATCACTAAGGCACAGGCCAACTGCTGAGGGCAGATAAATCTGTCATCTTACAAAACATCTGGTGGCAAAACACCTCAGTATCCCTTCAGGTATGAAAGGCTTTCAACACTCTAGGACCGATAAAACCTTTCCATTCTCTCCTATAGGAAGGGTGGCGTGGTACCAGGCAGAATCTAAAAAAGCTTTAGAATTTCCAAGGCTGCAGAAAAGCTACATATACAGTCATACAATACACTGGAAGGGCTGGGGCAGCAGTCGTATAATACACTGGGACAGCAGACTTCTCCAGTTCTGCTACAACATCTCTGTCAAAGCAGAAGGCTGAAAACAAAGAGCATACAGAGTCACTAGAATGAAAAGGAAGTGTTTAAATGTGTGTTGGTGGCAGGAATGCACAGAATTGGATTTAGGGGTACCAGGGGAATTAGAGAGAATGGAAGACCAGCTCACAAGTAGTGTCATAGGTCTGAACCACAGGAGAATATTCCTTTTACACATTACACTGAAGCATTATATCAGACACAGCAACACTACCATGTAGCTTTTCTCTATCATGTAAAATGTAATATGACAAACAGCATTTTGACCTCAGAAGAGACAGCAAAGAACACTTAAAAACACACTACAAAGCTGAAAYATTAACAGGATTTACATATCTACACTGAAAGAGCAGGATATTGTGTTAAAATCCCCTACACTGTAGGCCGAGTGATATTTCAGTTTCACTGCGAATTAGTTAAGAAACGTGACGAAACTGACGAGCAATGTTTCATTGCTAAACACACATGAAAGGTTTTGACATTGGTAGTTTGCCGTACAAATAGTGATGAATACTCCACAAATAATGTAACGTCGACATTCCTAGAAGTATTTTTAAAAGCCCCACAGAAACACATTTCCACTGTAGCCCTGCATTGGTTTCTSTGTAACTCAGCGATAGTGAGCCGCGGGGAAGGCGTTGAGCAGGACAAGTAGGTTCTGTGTCCCGCACGCAGGCGGCGGAGGCGGATCCCGCTGTGGCTGCCCCGGGCGCGGCTCAAGCCCTCGGTGCCTCCCGGGGACAGCGGCGGCCGCTGCCGTTGAAGGGGGCCCGCCCGCCGCCCTTATCGCCCGAGGGGCTGCAGGGCGTGTGTGGCGCAGATACCCCGCGGAGCCAGGCAGAGCCCCTTCTCCCCGCGGGGTATCTGCGCCACAGGGTATCTTCTCCCTTCGCCCCACCGGCGGCCCGAGCACCGTCACACAAGTTGTCCCCGGGACCCCCGGGCTGGAGTCGCCTCCGGGGCCCGCCCGCGCCGCCCGGCGGGGGAGGAGCCGCGGCTGAGCCGGTTCGTTCCCCGCCGCCTGAGCGGTGCGGCGAGGGGAGGTGGCGCGGCCGCCTGCGCCTGCACTTGGCGGAGCGCCGGCGGGGGACGGGCAGACCCTTCCCGCCCAGGAGGAACGCGCCCACTCACCCGCCGAGCCTCCGGCGACCACTTGGTGAGAGGCCTCCTGCAGAAAGCCCCGGGRCTGCCGAGCCATCCTTGCCCGCGCCGCGGCGGCGACGAGAGGCAGCTGGCGCCTGGAGAGCGGCTGCCGAGCCGGGGCCGAGTCCGCTCCGGGCGGGTGGGGAAGAGCCGGAGGGGCCGCGGAGCCGCGGTTATCTGCGGGCGAGGGGGGGCCGCGAACGCCGGGGGCGGGGGCGCCGGGCTGCGCGGCCTTTGGCAGCCGGCCCCGGGCGGAGGGCGGCCCCGGGCAGGGCACGGGCTCGCAGCTACTGGCGCTCGCTCCCAGCCGGGAAAGCGGCAGCCTCTCTCTCTCTCTCTTAGGGCAGAGCCGGGACGGCCGGCTGGGATCGCTCAGGCTGGGGCGGGGAGCGAGTCGGCGGGGGACGGCAGCCGGTCGCCTGCTCAGGCTCGGGCCGTAAACTCCAGCCCGGGGCTGGTGCCATGCAGCGCACACTTGCAATCCTGCTCCCCACCGCTGCTGGGACCCAGCGAACATTCCCTGCTGCTCAACTTATAGTGCCGCTCAAAGAGCTCACAGGCTTTTTGAAGCGCACCATCGTTTKAAAACCTTTAGTCTAAAGGTTGGATCCATCTCTTCGACGTTCAAAGGACACGGGTATTTGGTCACTTGGACAGTAATTATTACATGTGTTACACGAACCTGTTGGCCCATCTTGGTAAACAAAACGGTGACAGGGCACGGGCTGGAAGTGTTGGGACGTAGCGCCATTGCCGACAGCCCCCAACATTGCTTTCTTTTCCAGAAGATGCCAGAGTACRCCGAGGCTGCACCATTGAAGGGCAAGACAGTTCATAGGGTACCTTAGTTTGCGGAGTGCCTGCCAGTGTGTTGTGGCAGTCTAGCAACAAATGTTGCTAGCTTAATAGAGCTTCCAATCTTGAGAGGAAATGTAGTAAAACAAAGATTAAACAATGGGTTTATTGCTACTGAAAGGGATGGGAACATAGGAAATATACAGAGAAGTGTTAGTAAAGTGTTAATAGACCAAGACCCTAATTCCAAAAAGGAATAATACTTAGATATAGCATTCAGTTATATAATTTGAATGCACCAGCAAATAAACAATAACATGGATTTGTTATCTGTTTAAGAACTGAATGCGGCTTGCTGTGGGAATACAGAATAACTCCGCTAAATTAATAAACCTTGAATGTTCTGACCTTTAAGTAATTAAAATCTCAACTTCGATGCTTCATTAGCATTTGCCTTAGTTCCCTTGGTTTGGCAGCTTGAGACTGCTGCTCAATAAATATTCCTGGATGATCAATTCTCCAGTGTTCCGTACCATCAAAAAGCAGTTGCTGAAGCATCATAAAGTTTAATTCCAGAGATGTAGGTCTGCCCGTGCAATGTTCCCGTGGGTACAAATAGCAAATCTAGTATTAAGGTGGACTTGCTACAGTATTTCCACAGCAATGAGAATTTGGAATTCATCAGAAACTGGTTAGATAGATTTATTTTCTGCAGAAGGTGTCATTGCAACAAAAGGAAGGTTTACATGAARAAACTGAACAATAATGGTCAGAGTGCATGTAAGTTACCTAGATGTTTACACAGCAGCATAACACATGCTCCTTAAAAAGAGTTAAACTGTTCTTGTTAGGAAACTATTAAGTTTGTTTCATAGTAGTCAAACTCCAAATCTATGCACCTTAATTCAATTCCTCAGCTGGAAGTCTCTTTTACATATGGCACATCTCCCTTATTTTCCATATACCCCTCCCTCCTCCCCCGCAAAGGGCAACCTTCCCACTGTGCAGGTTTCCTAAAGCACTTCTAGGCTTAATCCTATTTCCATATGGCCTCTTCCCAAAGCAGTACATGAGCGCAACTCCATTCTTTTCCTCGATATCCCTGGCAGGGTCTGTCTCTCCATTTGTGGTTACYGCGTCCCTTAGTAGGAAATTCCGTCCGCCCTGGGCAGCTCCCAGCGCTAACACCCGAGAAGGAAACCACAACTGCCTGTGCCGGAACAGGACGAGCAGGAGATCCCCCCAAACGAGCCCCTGGACCCCCTGTCCCCGCCCGGCCCGGCCCCGCCGCCTCGCCCCGCCCCCGGCCCGCGGCCCCGCCGCTGCGCGCTCCCGAGGCCGGCGCGGAGCACCACGGGAGTTGTAGTGCGCTG